CAGTTAACTAAATATTTTTCTTTTTTTCTTTTAGTAAATATTAACGTAAATTGCTTATGTGCAAAAATGCACGGCGGAATAAAATATCTCAAGTACTTACAGTTCAATACCGTTTTGTAGAAAAAAATGTATGATTAAATAATCGATCTAATAGCGAGAGAATTTAACACGTGTTTATGTCCCATGGAAAAATATTCGCGTAGAGAAACTTGATTGAGGGTTGCGCAGGCGCACTCGTCATTTTGCAGTAACGCATTATAATACGCTTCATTTTAGTGCGTACACTCATAAGGTACGTTTGGTCCCTTAGTGAAGCGTTGGTTATTCTTACATCAACTATGAATTTATTGGTAAAGTACTGATGTCTCTATTATGTATTGATATGTTGAATACTATCTTAATATTCTACTGAGGATTATATGAAAGGTCTTAGCAAACCCTTTATAACAGAAATAACATCATTTTTTGTATATTTAACGGAGCTACGTACCATTTGTACCTACATAATAGCAATGAATTGATATAAACTATAAAAAGATAAAAATATTTTACAATAATTGTCGTAGTAAGCATGTCTTACAGAAATTTAATACTGGAAAGTAGTGATTGGTTACTTATATTGAGTATTAAAAGCACTAAACAACATTGATGCACCTAAATAATTTATAGTAAATATTAAATTGAATTCTGTAAGGAATATTATTTATTAAAGGGGTAGAATAAGTTGCTCAATGTTATCGCGCCTAAAAATTGTGATGTGTTCGTTGTGCATTTGCTATATTTTTTTTACAATCGAATCATATTGTTTTATTTATATTACCTATGATGAAATATGCCAACAGATCAAAATGTTGCATTAGTATATGTATAATGATTAATTCGTTTTTACTTAGTTTGTATAACTTATTCTTTTTTCCGATTCATTGATCGTGACTTTTTTTTCCTAGCGTAAATTTTTTAGTAAATTACCTTACTTGATTTTTTAGTGTAACATAAAATAATATAAAATGTACGAAAGATTAGCCCCGCGTAGTTTATGAAATTTTCTTGGGAAGAAATTCGTGAATAAGCGATCGATTTCACACTAAAAGCAATTTAATGGATGCTTTCTTTCTCACAGAGAAATGATCGTTGGAGGACTTCTTTCGTACAAAAATCGCGGAGGCGCAATCGTCAATTTTTAGATTATTACAGTTATCCACTTGTTTCATTCCGGTATGTATACTCGCAAGACGTAAAATATGTTCACTTAAGTAACACTAAATATTGTCACATCACTTTCAAGTTAAATTATGATATTGCTAGTTTTGTTACTAAATTATGTTCATAATGTTACCGAAAATAATTTTACTATATACACTTTATGCACTTTTAAACACCACAAGTCTGTTCTTAATGTTTTCTTTCTTAAAATTTTTTAACTTTGCGCTACTCGCTACGAAAAAAAAAAATTATATTTAGTTTTATTACAATAATAATGAATTATCAGTTTTTAAATACGGAATTTAATATATCAATATGCACATTACAAGTAAATTAATAATTTTGAACATCTTTTTTATTATCGACATTTTTTCTTCATTTAACTGTATTGAAAGTTTACATTGGATCCGTTTAATATCCATATATTACATTTTTTGCGACATTGTCATTAAAACTCTATATTTAAGTCTATAGATTGTACAGTGCTACAGATCGGCACGTTATTGATTCGTATAATAAATAAATGTGAAGTAAGACATTGATGCACTGGCCAGCTGCAATGAAAGATATTTTTCTAAAACGTTTGAAATACATTGATTATATCAAATGATCGATTTTATTCGATATTATATCGAATAAATTTCGAAATTTTTACCGTGGCGAAGCCTTCTAAAGAACCCTCAAACAGTCCACCAATTACTATCTTAAGAGTTTTACTACCCCTTTGCAATAGAAACAATATTAGCTTCTGTACATGTAACGGAGCTACATACCATTGAACGTTGTATCTGAAATTACAGTGATTAAACACGATCAGTATCGATAATTTTGTTTTGACGATAAAATTATTCGTGAATAATTTTTAAGTTAATTTTTTGTCGTAAATAATATACGCATAATTGTCTTACGAAACATTTCAGCTTTTGCTTTGTGTAAATGTTACATTGTATTTTTTGTCGTTGTTAACTTTAGCTTGAATTGCAGAAATTTAATTATGTATCACATTAGAATATTTCTTACACAGTAGTGAATACGTTATTGTTATGATCCAGAACTTGTTGCGTAACATTGTTGGCGATGAATGTGTATACATAATAAATATTCATAATTAATAATGATTGTATCAACTTTTCGCCAATACATCCGGATGATATTTCTCGAAATATCTAAAATGCGAACTATTTACTTGAAAGTATATTTAAATATATGAAACTAAACTTACCCGATAAAGATTGAGACTTGCATAAAGTAATCCGTTCAATAGTAAAACAAAAAATGATACGTTAAATGAGGATATAAAAATTTGGACAATCCTTTAAGAAGGAAAATATATTATTAGTTGTACAATACATGGCGTAACATATAGAAATAAATTCAGAGATGAATTTTTTACCTATTTCTGAACTAAATTTTAATTTGACACTTACGCTGTCTTTTTAATTATTTCTTTTTCTAAACGTTAATGTTTAATGTTTAAATAACAATAATATAAGTGTAAATTTTCAAACAAGTTTTTGAAAAGAGGTTTACATAATTGAGTAAAATTCATTTGAGAAATTAATTTATACGATTATATTTTATAAATTTAGCATGCGTTTTAGATTATTTAAGAAATATTAATGAAAAGATATTTATACTGAAAGAAAAACTGACTCCAAATCAATTGAAGAATTTATACCTGAATTGAATATCATATATTACAATATACTCTGTATGTATTTATATTTGATAAATACTTTACTCTAAAGCCTTGCGATGCATATCTACAGCATAAATTATGCCCTTGCAAATGAAATTCGCACTTTTCGTGCCGCTCATTCGTCTAATACCGATTGTCATGACTCGTTCCATACGATAACTGTAAATAACTGATATGCTATAGTATAATAATTTCTATTCGCATATATTATGCGCAAGTAGTATCACACATTATCACATGCGACAAAATTTTATTAACACACATTTTGGCAATTATTATTAATTTTCATACCTGGCAATTTTTAACATTCCGCAAATATGTTGCATATACATTATTAACATTGATCCCGTTGCTATCATTGCAAACATTCCTATACAGTATGCTACATCCGCGTGCAGTATAATTAAATAAAAATATCTTTCTTGATCTATAAAGTACTCTGTGATGATTTGTAGCGATGGATGCGACCGGGACTCGTTTACAGAGAACACAATATCGAATATGTATGGCAAAAATGGACAGAAAATGAAAGTAATCACGCTGAGGCTAATGAGTACTAAAGAACAATTTAAGAAACAATTGTAAAGAATTATTAAGTAATATTTTAAAATACTGCTATTTAAATTTATTTTAATTTTAATCTCCCAATATATGTCTACGGTACGTATCGTCCGATATACAAATTATGCGTGGCTACTTTAAATTCTATACTCGCATAAACACACGCTCCTCAAAATATATTAAGTACAAACAAAAGATAATAAAGAAGGATATTTTGATTTCGAAAATATTATTTGATCGATATGGAAATTTTTTATAAAGATGTCGTTTTATTTGATGTCTTTCTTATGTGAGCAAAGCGTTTAAAAGTGACTACACACAAGAAGACGTTACGTATTATAGATTTCAGATGATAATGAAGCAATGTATACTTATGTACTTGTGATGTTACTTGATATCATTATACGTGCATTGCTTCTTTATCATATTATCTTTATAAGTTAATAATTGCTCAAAGAAGCAATGTGCTTCATGTAAAGCCTATTTAAAAATATTATTATGAAATTTGAGACACAATACGCTATACAATCGCGAATATGTCATTTAATAAGAACATTATTTAAATTGAAATAAAACCAGTACATTTGCTGAATAATGAAAAAAATTGAGAGATTGTCTTACGTGTAAGTACTTCAGTGTAACGTTTTGCGATGCTCCAATATTTTTCTATGATGGCAATTTCACTTTCGTCTCTTAGCTCGTCGTAGGTGTATTGAAGTAGTTCTAATAAACGTTTTACCTGTCAATAATTTTCTATGCTACTTGTTATGCGAAAGTTGACACGGACTGATGTAATATACAACCCACGTTTATTCATGACGTACATAAGTTTCATCACTTACAACATCCATATTAAAGAAGAACGAGAGGTATGTTATCACCAAGTTAACAAAGAAAGATGTGACAGATATAATTTCAATGATTAATTGTAGATCACATTTTGTGGTCGCAAATGTTGTTAACTATGGAAAAGGATTTTGTTGAATCATTTATATCAAAAAAATTATCGTCAGCAAATAGAAAGAATTAAGTTATTAATTGTTTTTCTTACACAATAGTTAAACAAAGAGCATACCATGTAACTACGTTCTAATAATTATGTATAACAAAGATATATTATTTTATTATGTACTGTAATTATATAAATTTAAATGTGCCAGGTGGCTATCAATAACAATGCAATAACTATTATTAACTTTTTAATTATTAATAAATAAGAACATCTCTCGTAAAAAAACCTGCTAAAATATTACATTGTGACTTACCTGAAGTACGATAAAACTTCCCAGAATTCCGTACTGCAAAGTCAATTGCAACCAAATAAGTTTGGATTGTGCATAAGGCCACAAGCCAGCAGCGAGCAGGAGAACACGATTGAGACCGAAGTACCGATCCTTCGCGCAAGTCATCTCTTCGAGTGTCGAAACACGTATGACTGCGAAGAAGTCGATCGGGGACGGTCCGTTCATCCCCTCTTTTCGACTTAAATATTTCTTCTTCCAGCATAAATTTTTTTCAACTAACGCTAAATGTTAGGGAACATTATAATGAAATTCAAACGCTTGCAATTTTGCAATTTTTTCCTCGAAGAGGCCTACGATTAAGCGATCGATGCAACGCATAAGGAAATTTAACAGGTGTCTTCTTCCCACAAAAATAACGAAATAGGGACACTCGTGTAAAAAATATTTACATAAAAACCATGTTAACGCATTCTTTTATTTATTTTCGCTGCCTCAACTTCATTTACTCATAACTATAGGTATGTTTGATCTTTGATAATGTATTGTTGCAAATCATTTGCAGGTAATATCACGATAGAAATTAGATCACTTTGTATCTTTTTGTAAGTTTTTATACGCACCATTTACGTCATTTATGGTTAAGAAAGTTGAAAAAATAGTAGGTGCCAGTCATGCTAATATAATTCATTATATTAGCATAAATTATTTTAATGTTGTGATTGACGCATATTATCATGAAAATTGCACTTAGAAAAAATTAAACATTGAAGATACAATATAAAATTATTTGACATGTTTGAAGAATACAGCATGTGTATGTATTCAAAAATAAAAATTTTGTATATATGTATGTGTATATATATATATATATATATATATAAAATTTTTATTTTTGAAGCTTTTTGCAGAAACCTAACACTAATATTTTTTTAAATAATTTTTTAACAGCAAAATCTCTAACTAAACTACATACACGAAAGTAGAATTTTTTACTTTTTAAATAAATAACAATAAATTAATATATATGTTATTATTACATAAATTTTAAATAATTATATACATAATATTATATACGTTAAAATAAATTAACATTATATACATTATATACATATTAAATTGTAAACAATCAAAATTAGCAAATAGTATTTTTTTTAGAGTTCACCAACTCTATTCTGTTATTACGTGTGCACATGTGTCTGTCAGTAGATATTGATTTTGACACCTCAGGTGATATTGATTTTCTCTGCTCCGCTGACTTACAATATGCTGGTTTCTTATATACATATATATATATATATATATATATATAGTCTTACTTGAAATAAAATAGCAGTTATTAGAATACCCAGGAAGAAAATAACCGAAATCGGGAAAATTTCGTTTGTTGATGAGGCCACAAGCCTATAGCGAGTTAAAGAATTTTATTAAGATTAAAATATTGTGCCTCAACACAGATCATTTATCTGAGTTCTCCAAAATATGACTGCGAAGATATCGAAAGTATGCTCATTCCCTCCTTTTTTCCTTCGTCGATAAATTATGTCGATATATACTTAGCTTCTCTCTTCTGATGTAAATAACACAATTTTTCTAATGTCGTTTATACATAAGATGGGGACCCTCCATATATTACGTAAGCATATTTTTGGCCATTTTTTATTCCCTCCTTCTTCATGTAAGCAAATGTCAGAATTTCTGAATTCCCTTCCCCTCCTAATTACGTAAGATTTTCCCGATTATGCTCGATGTAAAATTAATATTGCTCGTTTTTCATGACAGCAGCAAATATAAAAAATCTTACGTAAGGATATGTACGACCCCTCCCCCCCTACCCCATGTAATTATTTATCAGAATTTGACTAACCCCCTCCCTCCAACCCCAGTCATGCTTACGTATGGATGGCCCTATGATATAAGTTATTATCGTGATAGAAAGAGAAAGAAAGAGAGAAAGAAAAAAAAGAAAGCAAGAGAGAGAGAGATCGGAATATCGCAATTTAATAACATTTTTCAGAAAATCAACTATTATGCGATTGATTTAATACAGTGAAATTCAGCAGGTGTTTTGTTTTGCATAAAAAAATTACTCACGAGAGAACTATTTTCGCAAGAGGTACAAAAGTTGCGTACTTAAAACTTATATAAACTTTTACACGGTTTATTCTTGTTCAAGAACTCGTAGGAATTCCATCTTTATTATAAAAAGCATGTCCGTCTTTTCAATCTTAAATACTATTAAACGTTTCAGATTGTTGCAGTAATATAATGCTCTTTTCTTTCTCTCTTAGAACATAGAGATAGGTTTATGTTTTTTGTATATTTTTCAGATTTCCACAGATATCATGCTATTAAGAAATTCAAATTTAAAGATTTAAAAATATTATAACTCTTATAATGATTTTCTGTAGCAATACCGCGTAATCTCTGTTTCGATATGGTATACATCAACGTCTTTGATCAAAAAACTTTGAAATCTAGATCGGAAGAGCACAC